GGGGTGAGGTGATGGAGGGGAGTACAGAGATAGGGAGGGGTGAGGTGATGGAGGAATATGAAACAAGGAAGAGAATTCTCTGAATCGAGAGGTTACTGGGGCAGGCCTGGTGTCGCACCATGAGTGCTGTGTTTTTATGAAGTACCTTCTATAATAGCCCCTCTGGGACATGCCTGCATCAGACTGAGTAGCTCAGAGCAGTGTCACCACAGCAACATACTCACATCTTTCTGCTCATTTTTATGTTTCTTTCCCAGGGAAGGAGGAGACTGAACAGAAGGAGGCAGAGACAAGGAGAGATGGAGGAACGAAGGCTGTGAGCTTACCTCACAAAGGTCAAGGCCAAGGGGTGGCAAAACTGAGGAACTGAGAATAGTATCCCATTCCTGAGGGTTGCTTATAAAGGACACAACTCCTGGCACAAAGCCCCCAATATCAACGTTCCAAACCCCTCCCATCCAATAAAAGATTCAGATGTTCTGTTGAAAGAGCTTCATGATCCCTGACCCCTCCGTATTTATTTGTTAGCTTGGATCTAGGGCCTACAAACATTAGCTCAAACCCTAGGCCTTGAGAACCTTGGACAGCATGGTGGCTCAGTGGTTAGCACTGCTGCCTCACAGCGCTAGGGACACAGGTCTGATTCCAGCCTCAGGTGACTATCTGTTTGCATGTTCTCCCCGTGTCTGCGTGAGCTTCCTCCCACAGGCCAAAAGATGGATTGGCCGTGCTAAATTGCCCCATAGTGTCCAGGGATATGCAGGCTGGGTGGGTTAGCCATGGGAAACACAGGGTTACAGCAATGGGGTGGGTCTGCGTGGGATGCCCTTTGGATGGTCAGTGTGAACTAGATGGGCTGAATGGCCTCTATTTGCACTGTAGGGATTCTGTGATCAGGCCCAGCACTGAGGGAGGTGCTGAACACTCTGAGAGGCCATTTGTCATACCCAATGTGTAAACAAACACACTGTCCCCACTCCTCCCCCGACTGCCCCCCACCCCCCCCACCTCCGCTACCCGCCTGTATGGGTGGGGCTTCAGAATCAATTGACATACTCTCTGGTGAACTTGCAAAACGTGGAAGGAGACCATTCTGCCCATTGCGCCAATGATAGCCTGCTGGAGTAGATCTGCCCAATTAGATTCAGACTTTTGAGATTTTCCAGCAACTTCTGTCTTTGCTTCTGATTTAAGCACCCGCGGTTCTTTCAGTTTTTATTTCGATTCAGATGAGTGCAGGCGAAGGCCATTCAGCCTTTTGAGCCTGCTGTGCCATTTGCTGAGAAGGTGCTGATTGGATCGCTGGCTTGGCTCCACGTTTTAGACCTTCTCCCTTTGATCCCTGCCCATTTCCCCATAATCCGGTCACTGTTTCTCCATTCTCCGTTCCCATCGTAAAGTTTGTGTTCAGCTTGCTTCCATCGCCCTTGCAGCGAACCCATCCCAGATCACAGCGACTCCCCGAGTAATTTCCTTACCCAGGGCTGGCTTTAGCTGTTTCAGTTCTGAGGAAAGTTCATTGTTCAGAAACTTTCACTCGGTTTCTCTGTCCAGGGACGCTATTGAGTCTTTCTCCTGTGTCTAAGGGAACTGTTTCTCCTTTGTCAAAAAATCCTTTCGTGTTTCTCAACGCCTCGATCAAATCTCCTCTGCTCTAAGAGAAACGATCCCAGCTTCTCCAGGTTGCCATCCATCACTGAGGTTCCCCATCCCTGATTCTGTTCTCGTTAACAAAATCAGAAATAGCTGGAAAAGCTCACCAGGTCTGGCAGCTCCTGTGGACAGAAAGCAGAGTTAATGTTTCAGGACCAGTGACTCTTCTTCACTTCCACTACATGTGGCACTGCAGAAATTCACCAAAGATCCTCAGGCAGCACCTTCCAAACCCACGACCCCTTCCATCTAGAAGGACAAGGGGCAGCAGATACATGGGAACACCACCCCCTGCAAGTTCCCCTCTGAGCCACTGCCCATCCTGACTTGGAAATATATCACTGTTCCTTCACTGTCGCTGGGTCAAAATCCTGGAATTCCCTCCCTAAGGGCATTGTGGGTGTCCCTACACCAGACAGACTACAGGGGTTCAAGAACACAGCTCACCCCCACCTTCTCAAGGGGGCAGTTAGGGATGGGCAATAAATGCTGGTAAAGCCTACACCTCAGGAGTAAATAAGAAAGTATTAACAAAGGGTCTGATGCTGGTTAAAAGCGAAGACTTCAACTGTGATTCAATTTACAAACCACATGGTTTGTGGTAGCATTGAGCACTTTTCCCTATTGCTCCGTAACTCACACACTCTCACTCACACACACACTCACTCTCTCTCTCTCACACACACACACACTCTCACTCACACACTCTCACTCACACACACTCACACACTCTCACTCACACACACACACACACTCACACACACACTCACACATACTCACTCACACACACACACACACACTCACTCTCTCTCTCTCACACACACTCTCACACACACACACTCTCACACACATTCACTCTCTCTCTCACTCACACACACTCACTCTCTCTCTATCACACACACACGCGCACACTCTCACACACACTCACTCACACACACACACACACACTCTCTCTCACACACACACTCACTGACACACACACTTACACACACACACACACACACTCACACACACTCTCTCTCTCTCTCACACACATACACACACACACACATATGCACATTCACACCTGCACACACAGCCTCACAGATAAACACAGACACACACATGCTCGCACACACACCGTGCACACACACATGCACACACATAGACATATGCACACACTCACACAGGCACACATACACACATACATGCACACAGGCAAACACGTGCACACACAAATACTGTACACACACATGTACGCACATGCACACACACACACTGTACACACACACATGCACACACAGACATACGCACACACAGACACACGCACACACACACATATATATGCACACAGACAAACACATGCGCACACACAAACATGCACACACAAACACAGACATATGCACATACACACACACACACACACACACACACACACTGCGATGTTCCTCATGCTGGCAGTCAGTGTTCAAGATATACATGTGAAGCAGGTTAAGAGATTCTTGAGCCAAATTCTATTCCTAATGAAGAGTACCTCTTAAGTCTTGAGTGCATCTCGGCGTAACCCATAATTATTCTGCTTGCATGAAATAGAATTGACATAGAGACCAGAAACTGTGCATCAATGGTGCTTGTTAAAATCCCTTCATGTTAATCAATGTTCCACATTAAAGGAATGGATTTGATTCTGTAAAAATGCTGAACTGTTGTATCATTGATTTTAAAGTTTGTTTTCTGATGGGAGAGCAGGTGGCAGAGGTGGGAGGTTTCTGTAGAAAGGAATTTCAGGTCCGTGGATCATTAGAATTCCATTCCAACGGCATCACCACAAGATGTTTGAAGTTACGGAGGATTCAATCAATGTTCAGTGGCGCAAGGATCATGAAACTGAACCCTTTATTCACGGGATGAGGGCATCGCTGGCCAGGCCAGCATTTATTGCCCATCCCCCACTGCCCCAGAGGGCAGTTAAAAATCAACCACATTGCTGTGGGTCTGGAGTCACATATAGGCCAGACCAGGTAAGGATGGTAGTTTCCTTCCCTAAAGGACATTAGTGAACCAGATGGGATTGTCCTGATTCATGGTCATCATTAAATTCTTAATTTCAGATATTTATTTAATTCAAATTCCACCACATGCAGGATTTGAACCCAGGTCCCCAGAACATTATGGGGGTTAACAGTCCAGCAACAATGCCACTAGGCCATCGCCTCCCCAGTCACAAAGGGCCTGGAACCGTTAGCTCAGCAACTGTTCACAAGTTCATGCTCAGTTAGGCAATAAAACCATAAGACATAGGAACGGAAGGAGGCTACTCAGCCCATCAGGCCTGCTGTGCGATTCAGTGAAATCATGGTTGACCTGATAACACCACTTTCCTGCCTTTTCCCCATAACCATTCCAGATTAAAAATCTTTCTATCTCAGCCTTGAATATACTTACTGACCCAGCCTCGACAGTCCCTCTGAGGTAAAGAATTCCACAGATTCACTTCCCTCAGAGAGAAGAAATTCCTCCCCATTTCTGTCTTCAATGGGCAGCCCCTTACTCTGAGATGATGCCCCTCTGGTCCTAGACTCTCCCACAAGGGGGAAGCAATCTCTCCACATCTCTCCTGTCAAACTCCCTAAGAATCTTGTCGTTTCAATAAGGTCATCTCTCACGCTTCCAAACCCCAATGAGTACAGGCCCAAGCCTACTCAACCTCTCCTCGTAAGACAGTCCCTCCATACCTGGGATCAGCTGAGTGAACCTTCTGTGGACTGTCTCCAACATCAGTCTATCTTTCCCTTAGATAAGGGACCCACAAACTGTTCACGGTATTCCAGCCGTGGTCTGACTAGTGCCTTGTATAATTTTAGCAAAACCTCCCTATACTTATACTCCATCCCCTTTGAAATAAAGGCCAATTTTCCTTCCTTTTGGTGCACCATTCACTTACTTGAAATGCTTTGGGGAGGCGGGTTGGTGCACGACTGTGATGCCCCCCCACAGTTGAATGTCCCCTGACTCTCCCAGTTAAAGGATGACAATTTGGAGGATATTTGGTTCGGATGTGTCAGGAGAGAATGGTTGAAACATATAAGATCCTCAGGGGACTTGGCTGGGTGGATGTGGAAAGGATGGCTCCTCTTGTGGAACACTCTAGAACTAGGGGGGTTTGCTGTTTAAAAATAATGGGGTACCCATTTAAAACAGAGATGAGGAAACATTTTTCGCTCTCAGTGGGTGGCGAGTCTTTGGAATTCCCTTCCTCAAAAGGGAACCGAAGCAAAATCTCGGAATATTTTGAAGGCAGAGGTGGACAGACTGTTGCTGAGCGAGGGGGTGAAAGGTTACCGGGAGGTAAGCAGGAAGGTGGAGATCTCAGAGCGGCCATTATTGAACAGCAGAGGGGCTGAGTGGCCTCTAACAATCAGAGCCAGCAATTTTAAGTACTGTCCACCAGGAGGAGTGCCTCTTCCATGATGCTTGAAGGTGAGTCGCAAACATGTGTGAAATTTAACAACAGCGGGGCAAGGTCAAACAACATCCAAATATTGGAAAGTGTCAGGTTTGTGTAGCATCCTCCAGAGAGGTTGAATACCTCCTGCATTTCTCAGGGGAGGGAGGTCAGCCTTGGCGATGATCTTCAACTATAGCCAAGGGCTTGAAAACATTCTGCCTGCTACCTGGCGAGCGAATTCCCCTCAGGGGCCATTATTGTCCATCATCGGGAAGCAACCTTCTCCCTCCCTGAGATTGACGGTCAACACGGAGACCATTTGGCCCCCAGATTCACCAGGATGACCCCTGGCATGGAGGGATTGTCTTGTGAGCAAAGGCCAAACAGGTTGGGGCTCTACTCACTGGCGTTTAATAGAATGATCTCCTTGAAATGCATCAGGGTTTGACAGGGTCAATGCTGAGAGGCCGTTTCCCCATCATGGGCTAGTCTAGCACCAGAGGGTATAGGCTCAGGATAAAGGGGCACCAATTTCAGACTGGGATGAGGAGAAATTTCTTCTCTCAGTGGGCTTTGGCACTCCTTGCCACAGAGACCTGTTGGAGGGGGCAGAGTCCTTGTGTATATTTAAGGCTCAGATTCTTGGCCAGCCAGGGAATCAAGGGTTACGGGAAAAGGGCAAATAAAATGGAGGATACGCCACGATCCTGTTGAATGGTGCAGCAGGCTCGAGGGACTGAATGGGTTACTCCTCCTCATATTTCTTATGGTTTTAGAGCCCCTCAGACTAGCTCTGCCAATCGAGATTGACCGTAGCTGATCTGATTTTGCCCCATGCCTCTCTAAATACCGTTACCCAGGGCAAGCAAAAAATCCCTTTCAAATCCAAAACCTTTCAATTCAACCAAAAGATTTTTTTTTAGAGGGATTGGTGCGGGAGGGGATAGGTGGAGTGGGCTCCTCACTTTATGAGATAAAGCATTTGGATATTGTTGAAACGAGAGCCCTGCTTCTGCAGAAAATCCATCTCACACTCATCAGGATAAACGCAAGAATGCCAAATTTCAAACAATCACAACGCAGGACAGAACGATGCTGATTGGCTGCGAAATTGCCATGGAGATAACAACAGACAACCATAGGCTCTGAGACTCTCAGACAGTGAACAATGGGCTCGGATATATGCCTTTTGTTTGCAGAAAACAAGGAACAGAAGGAAGGAAGGTTGCTGGAGGAGCACAGCAGGCCAGGCAGCATCAGAGGAGCAGGAATGTTGACGTTTCAGGTTGGGACCCTTCTTCAGAAATGGGTCCTGAAGAGACCTGAAGAAGGGTCCCGACCCAAAATGTCAGCTTTCCTGCTGCTCTGATGCTGCCTGGCCTGCTGTGTTCCTCTTGCTCCACACTGTGTTACCTCTGACTCCAGCATCGGCAGTTCTTATTATCTCGAAGAGAGGTTGCTGATAGGTTCCCTGATATATTTTCTCCCTGTGCTATAAATGACTGTAGCTGTATGACGTTTGGTATTCTTACATTAGTCTTGGTCAGGGCGAAAGGTCACAGGGACTAGAATTAGAAGAAAGAAAGGGATGAAATCAGATAGAAAGAATTAAGAGAGAAGGAAAGCATTGTGTGTAAGAGAGATTATAAAAGATGCAGAAGTGGAGGAAATTAAGTAAAAACGCAGGTGGATTCTGAGATGATATTGCACGGAAGACAGCAGCAAAATAATTCTCAATGTCCCTTTGACCTCCTGCATCACAATTTAAGTTGGGCTTTAAAGAGCCATAAATATAATTGTGTGTTTATTTTGGCATTTGTCTAGGTCCAGTCCTATACAAACTGTCTCAAGACATAACACTGGGGGAGGATCCAGTTGTGGGAAACTCCTGCAGCTTCTCTGAGGCTGTGTTCCTGACAGTCTCATAAGCCAGAGAACATCAACTGCCTCACTTATCCTGAAACTCACACTGAGAGTTTCTGTCTGTCTGTCTCTCTCTCTCTGTGTGTGTGTGCAGCCTCCAGACCAGGTAAAACAAATCATTCTTCTCTCAGTGAACCTTCAGTTAACACTTTCAGTCTCGGAATGATATTTTTGAGTTTAAATACTAGGCATAACTTTCTGTACTTATCTCAGCTAGACTATAAGAATTGACTGGATTAATTTGAATGGAACTTGTACTGAGACAGTTTTCCTTGTGTTCAGCTTGTAAACAGAATTACAAAGTGTTTCCTTTTGATCACTAGATAATTAGGGATGGAAAAGGTCATTGCTATGTGTTAAAAACATTGCAGCTTTCAAGGTCACTTCTGGAATACTGCGTTTAATTCTGCTCTCCCTGCTAAAGGAAAGATGTTGTAAAACTTGAAAGGGTTCAGAAAAGATTTACAAGGATGTTGCTGGGATTGGAACATTTGAGCTATCGGGAGAGACTGAGCAGGCTGTGGGTATTTTCCCTGGAGCATCGGACACTGAGGTGTGATCTTATAAAGGTTTGTAAAATTATGAGGGACATGCATGGGGTGAATAGCCAAGGTCTTTTCCCCCAGGGTTGGGGAATTCAAAACTAGAGAGGCAAGGGTTTAAGGTGAGAAGGAAAAGATTCAAAAGGGACCTAAGGGGCAACTTTTTCACACAGAGGGTGGTGCGTGTGTGGAACGAGCTGCCAGAGGAAGTGGTGGAGGCTGGTACAATGACAACATTTAAAAGGCATCTGTGTGGGTAAATGAATAGGAAGGGTTTAGAGGGATACGGGCCAAATGCTGGCAAATGGGACTAGATTAATTTAGGATATCTGGGCAGCATGGATGAGTTGGACCGAAGGGTCTGTTTCTGTGCTGTACATCTCTATGAGTCTAAGTGTCACTGAAATGATTGTAGTTTTAATTCTGTTGCATGTACTTTCTGGAAGTGTTAAGCTCACTTTTGCATGAATTGACATATTTGCTTTTTGATCCCCGCTGTCCTTTTCAGTATTTGAACTTAAAGCATTGAGGTTTTCCCCTCCAGTACAATCATCCCTCAGGCACAGCTCTGTCCTGTTTAAAAAAAAAACCTGTTTTACTTTTCCTCTGGCACTCAGTGGCCAGGCCCTGCTACAGTCTGCACACCTGTCCTCCTGTTAGTCACATTCTCTCAGTCTCACTGACAAGCTACACAGTACTTCAAGCAATAACAGAAATTGCCGGAGAAACACAGCAGGTCTGGCAGCACCTGTGGGAAGAGAGCAGAGTTCATGTTTGTTAGCAGATAAGAAAGACAATTGGGTCAATGCTGAAGTTAAGGGAGCTAGGAGTTTGGGGAAAAGGGAGAGAGGTGAGCTGCTAGGAAGAGACAGAGCCCAGAGAGAGACAGGCTTGGGTAAACATGGTGCTTATGGAGACCAACTCAGGAGGAAAACTGAATAAGTGACAATAAGAGATGAGAGTAAAGGTTAGCTGTGCTGATTGCAACCTGTAGAATGGCATGGTGGCTCAGTGGTTAGCACTGCTGCCTCACAGTGCCAGGGACCCAGGTTCGATTCCACCCTCAGGCCACTGCCTGTGTGGAGTTTGCACATTCTCCCCGTGTCTGTGTGGGTCCCCTCTGGATGCTCCGGTTTCCTCCCACAGTCCAAAGATGTGCAGGCTAGGGTGGATTGGCTGTGCTAAATTACCTGTAGTGTCCAGGGATGTGTAGGTTAGTCATGGGGTGTTACAGGGATAGGGTGGGTCTGGGTGTGATACCCTTCAGAAGGTCAGTGTGGACTTGATGGGCCAAGTGGTCTGCTTCCACACTGTATGGATTCTATCTCCCTCGATCAAATGAGCCCAACTGATTCAGTGTATTTGTGAATAAGTGAAATCACTTGACCAAGGGGCTATGCTCCATAAAGCTTGTGATTCCAAACAAATCTGTTGGACTACAAGCTGATGTTGTGGGACCTCTGACCCCACTCTTATAGAGTTGGCATAGTGCCTGTGGTCCCAATACTGGACACCCCGCCCTGTGTCCAAAACCCAGCTGTAGCGGGAAAGCAATGCTCCCTGTGTGAGATCCGGTCTGCAGCTGGGATATGAGATCAGAGATATCCAGCACAGTGTAAGCTGCTCCTAAATACTTATTGTGTGTGAGAGAGAGAGA